CTTACCAGGTCACTCTGTCGGGCCCGATCAGGACATCATAGATGTCTCCATCTTGGCAAAAGCCATTCTTGCACCTCTTTGCAGCCGTTTCCTGGAAAGAGAAAATGAGACTGATTGATTGCTCCGACTGATTGTTCTCCTGTTTGAGTTTCTTAAGGAAGCAGGCCCCAAGAGGGCCGATCCTTTCGATACCAGGTGGCCTCTTAGACCAACCCCGAGCCTCAGCTGACGTGAGGAAATCAGGAACTGCAAGCACAGTTCTCATACGAGGTGTCAGAAAATGTTGAGGAGCTCATCATCGGCGGGAGTTTGGAGGCACGCAGGCCCAGGGAAGCTCTTGTCCTCCCTGTAGAAAGTCACGTCTCAGACTCACCTCTCAGCGGAGCTCGCACCGTCCAGAAGGAACAGATCCACCTGTGAGAGAAGAGGATGATTGATCAATGTTCGGAGAAACTGGGAGAGTGTAAAACCAAGATGGAGGAAGGTTCCCTCAGCCCCTGAACCAGCTCTGCAACCTACCACCCAATCTACTGGTTGTAAAAAATCAATTCTTGCTATTTCACCAGCTTCCATTTCGCTTTAACAAGACCACAAAAACATCCAGAGACCTATTCCGCTTCTTAGAAAAAAAAACCCTTGTAAGTAGAAGAAAAAGAACAGCTTGGGTTTATACCCTGCACTTCACTCAGAGTAGCTTACAATCTCCTCTCTCTTCCCCTCCCCCACAACAGACACCCTGTGAGGTAGGTGGAGCTGAGAGAGTTCTTTCGAGGACTGCTCTTGAGGGAACAGCTCTGAGAGAACTTGCAACTGACCCAAGGTCACCCACCCGGAGTCCACTCAGTGGCATAGAAGAAGAGTTGGATTTATACCCCGCCCTTCACTTGGGAGTCTCAGAGTGGTTTACCATCTCCTTCCCTCCCCCCCTCCCCACAACAGACACCCTGTGAGGTAGGTGGGGCTGACAGAGCTCTCTTGAGAACTGCTCATGAGAGAACAGCTGACAGAACTTGTGATTGACCCAAGGCCACACCAGGAGCTGCATGTAGAGGACTGGGGGAATCAAAACCGGTTCTCCCAGGTTAGAGTCCGTGCTCTACACCAATCTGGCTCTCACCACCTGTGGCTGCTGACAACCAAAGGCAGTTGGTTTGAGTGGTTCTCCTGTACCATGTGACCCCCCCCCCATCACAGCGGATGCAGCGTAGACACACAGGAATATGGCTGACTGAACGTTCCCAGATTCGCTTTCTTTTAGAGAGCGCAGCAAACAGCATCCCACAGAGACCCCAGTTCAAATGCAGACCAGCACTGCAGCCCAATCTCACTCTCTGCCTAACACCACAAAAGACGTACTAAAACTAAGGTCAATAAAGAAGAAGAGATTTGATTTATACCCTGTCCTTCACTCGGGAGTCTCAGAGCGGCTTACAATCAAACTCCTTCCCCTCCCCACAACAGGCACCCTGTGAGGTGGGTGGGGCTGAGAGAGCTCTGAGAGAACTGCCCTTTCAAGGACAGCTCGTCAGAACAATGGCTTGCCCAAGGTCATCCAGCAGGTGCAAGTGGAGGAGTGGGGAATCAAACCCGGTTCTCCCAGATTAGTCTGCGCACTTAGCCACTACACCAAACTCGCTCTCAGGATTCCCAATAGAGAATGCATGCTTGTTCACAGGGAGAAATGGCGCTACAGAGGGTTTCCAGTTCTGGCTTGGGGGAAACGTGGAGATTTTGGGGGTGTGGGGAGGGGCCTCAGCAGGACATAATGCCAGAGCCCACCTTCCAAAGTGGCGTTTTTCCCCAAGGGAACTAGCAACCCTAGTGCAACCTGTTATTCCCTCTGGGAAGGAAAAGAGGTGCAGGAATGTTCCCTCTAAGCTGTAGAGTCCTGTGAGCAAAAATTCTACTTTGTGAGCTACTGGCATTAAAGTCGTGAGCAGGTGATTTGGCTACTGCATAAATTAGTGTGTTCTGGAGGCTAAAAAACTGTGAGCTAGCTCACACTAACTCAGCTTAGAGGGAACACTGGAGCTTATTAGCATAACTCATTAAGCCTAACTTATTTCCAGGTGCCACACCCCCTGACGTCACCAGTGTGTCAGAAGGCAACACCCACCGCTCAGGCTCCACCCCCCAAAATCTCCAGGTATTTCCCAACGCAGAACTGGCGAGCCTACCAAGAGAAAAACTGCTTCGAAAGCAGAAAGGAAACAGTCAAGATGTTAACTGGTTCCAATGCAACACACATTTAGGCCCTCGGAACGAAGGTGATTTTAACAACAGCACCCTTTGGCAAGAAGAAAGATGAGAACGTCTCAGATGTTAAAATCTAAAAAATAAAATAAAATAAATTTTAAAAATGAAATAAAAAACATAAATCGCTCTAGCTGAAAGTGCACACAGTGAATTTCGACTTCAAACTTTTACTCAACTTTGAAGGAGCTGAAGGTGCCGGACTCTGGAGATGCCACCAACTTCCTCTATCATCCTCAGGGTCTTGGGCGTCCAGCGATGAACAATTGACTTGAAGCAGCCAACAGCTCTGAACAGTTTGGTGTCGTGGTTAAGTGCGCGGACTCTAATCTGGGAGAACCGGGTTTGATTCCCCACTCCTCCACTTGCACCTGGCTGGATGACCTGGGGCAAGCCATAGTTCTGTAGGAGCTGTTCTTGAAAAAAGAGCAGTTTCTGTCAGAGCTCTCTCAGCCCCACCTCGCTCACAGGGTGTCTGTTGTGGGGAGGGGAAAGGAGTTTGTAAGCCGCTCTGAGACTCCTTTGGGTAGTGAAGTGCGGGCTATAAATCCAATCTCTTCTCTTTTGAAGCTCTGTTAAAGAAGGTCCCACAATCTGTTAAAGGAGATCCAACAATCATTACAAAAAGGGAAAGACAGCCTACTTGGCTCTAGAACAGAGTGTACATAGAGAAGAACTCACCTCAGCAGCACAGGGCTTTCCAAAGTTTCATCCTGTCGCCGGACTCCTCGGCTCTTTTCCGGGTCTTGCTTTGGGTGTCCAAATGGGAACGATAACCCTGAAGCAACCACGTCGTCACAAACGTCGTCGGATCGAAGATTTGAAGAGGAGGTCCAACCATTCTTATGAACAATAAGGACGTGATGGTTTTGATTTTCAAGGAGGACCTTTCGGGAGTGACGATCAAGTTCATCTGGGAAAGGCCCCTTTCACACTCCCGGGAGGAAATGGCAACTGTATTGAAAACGTGGCAGAGCCGAGAAAGCGGCTTGGGCATTTCTTCTCTGTATTTCAGATGCTCTCGGAAGGCCCGGATGGCTTCTCTCTCACTGAGCCGAAACCTCCTTGCCAAAGCGCCTATTTCTGCTTCCCCATAGAGAATACAGTCACTGGGGTATGCAGGCCAATTCTGAGACTCCAGAATTCTTCCACATCTTGAAAATTCTGTGTCTTCTTGCGAAAGCAGTCTTTTTTGGAGAGATTTCTTGAGCTGCTCATAGAATGCGACTGGGGAGATTGGTGGGTCATCCATTCGATTTCTCCTGCGCAACTGGACACCCTTAAATTGCAGCTTTGCTGTCGCCTCGAGGGCTTCTCGATAGTAAGGACCTGGCCCAGTGCCTCTCTCCCCGCATATCTCAACGAGACTCTCAATCTTGCCATGGGCTCGGTACAGATCGATATTCCCCTCCTGCAGATCGACAGTCAATTCTGAGACCTCTTGCAAAGCGTCACAGAGCAATCCGAGATCCAAAACGAATTCCGACGACGTGATCTTTTTCTGAAGGCCTTCGTAGGCCTGCCTCTCCCTTCTATCTCGACCACTCTCCGTTTGAGCTTTTTCAAAATGACGGACGAGGGCTTCGTAATCCTTCCAGACAGCTGTCACGGCTCTGTAGCTGGAGGCCACCCACGTTGTGGACAGGATCCTTCCGATTTTCAAAAACTCCGTCTCTAGCGTGGCGGCACAGGCCTTGAGCTCCCTTGCATTTTTGGGAGACGAATGGTACATGACGTATAAGTCGTCCATAAAACTCTTAAATCGATTGATGCCCCACACCTCTTTCACGATCTCGTGGACTGATGATTCCAGCCTATGGCTAGCACAAGGCCATACAATGATGGAAGGGAATCGGTCTTTGAAAAGTTTCGCGACTCCTCCGCGGGATCCGATCATCCCTACGACCCCGTCACAAGTCAACGAAACCAAGCTTTCCTCCAAGACTTCCTCGGTGATCCTTAGTGACTCAAGGGTAGACATCAAACTTGTGAATATCCCATTTGCTGTCACGTCGTCCAGCTCTACATCAAGCCAATGAAGTAATTCATAGGGTCCATCCATGTCCATCTCTTCAATGTAGCTGCGAATATACACGATCAGCACGGGTTTCTGGCTCACCGTAGTAGACTCATCGAGTAGCAGTGACATTTTACTCTTGGAATCGGTGATCTTCTTAATCAGCGCGATTCTCATCTCGCTGCCAATGTGGTCGACGATGCGTGCACAAGACGTAGCCGGGTACAAAATGCTCCCCACGTCAATGCCGTTTAATTCCTGCAAATCAACGTCGGCCCCCAAGTCGTTAAAAGACTGGTTCTTCCTGGCCACCTTATACACCGTACGGAATATCCTCTTGGTGGTTTCCATCTCCCTTTCTCGGGACTGTGCGGTTTCCAGCGTTTCCCTCAGCTCCTCCGCTGCGATTTTAACCGCAGCTTTGTGGCCTAGACTGTCCCTGTGTTCACAAATTTTTTTCCTGAGAGAGGTCAGCTGCTGTTTCCTTGATTCTCCGTAAAATGACACCAGGCCACGCGTCCACTCTTTTGCAAGACGCGAACCCGCAGCCATCTTCTCCGTCCCTAAGTCTCCAACATCTCTACACACTGAGCAGCCTAACCTGCCGCCGTTGAAAAACAGCCAGTCGTTTTTTTGGAGATGATCATTCTTCTGCTCCACAGTCCAACAACTGGGCCAGGCGCTCTCATCAACTGCAGAGAAGAAGAAGAAGAGATTGGATTCATACCCCACCCTTCACTACCCAAGGGAGTCTCAGAGTGGCTTACAAACTCCTTTCCCCTCCCCTCCCCACAACAGACACCCTGGGAGGCAGGCGGGACTGAGAGAGCTCTGACAGAAACTGCTCTTTTTTTCAAGAACAGCTGTGCCAGAAGTATGGCTTGCCCCAGGTCATCCAGCAGGTGCAAGTGGAGGAGGGGGGACTCAAACCCGGTTCTCCCAGTTTAGAGTCCGCGCACTTAAACCACTACACCAAACTGGATTTCTGCAGAGGCAGAGATGCAATGACTTGACTCGCTGGTCAACCGATTTTCAAGCTCCATACCTGGATTATTAGCAGGAGTTGAAATTCCATCTGGACTGCTTGATGATTCCCTTGACGCCGAGGGACAATCTTCAATCACCTCTTGTTTTATTTGGGTCCCAACGAAGTTGTCCGAAGTACGCTTTCTTTTCATGCTGGGCAGCAGACTTTTAAAACGTTGCTAACCTGCAAAAGGGTGATGGCATTTAAGCACAACCGTGGTATTACAGAACTGGAACTCTTCCCATAACACAGCCCATAAGACCAATATCGTTTTCAAGAAGGCATTTACAGAACTTTTTATACACACCTGCCAGCTTTACACTTTGACTAAAGACAGTTTGGGTTTCCTTCGCTCTTGCAACAAGCGGGAAAATACAGATCAAGTTACTACTATTTATTTTTGTGACAGTTGCTATATCCTGGTATTTCAATATTTTTTATTATGATCAGAGATCAGCAAATACCTTAAAACGTTAGATATAGTTAACAGCAAAATACAGCCAGACAGTCGGTACAGGTAAAAAACTTAGTTAAGGCAGCATGGATTTTAAAATTACCTAAGAAGTAATAGTCTCCTTTCTGGTTAGGAGAGCCATAGCACAAAATCTTGCTACCTTAGTGTTCCCTATAAGATGAGTTAGTGTGAGCTTGTGTTCCCTCTAAGATGAGTTAGTGTGAGCTTGCTCACAGTTTTCTAGCCTCCAGCTCACACATTTTTGTCTTAGCTCAGGAAGGATGGCTCCAGAGCAAACAAATTTATGACAGCAGCTCAGAAAGTGGAATTTTTGCTCACAGGACTCCACAGATTAGAGGGAGCATTGCCTACAACAAGCATGAAAATACAGATCAAGTTAGTATTGCTATTTATTTTTGTGATAGTTGCTATACAAAGCCTCCTGGTTCAGCTTTTTAAAGTCCAGTTTTCTTAGAAGGGCAAATTAGCAGTGACCGGTGGCTCAAGTGGTTAAGACGCTGAACTGCAGACTGTGGAAGTAGTTCAGCAGTTCGAGACCCAAGTGTGCCGGATGACGGAGTGAGCTCCCGTCTCTAGTTCCAGCTCTTGCCAACCTAGCAGTTCGAAAGCAAAAAATTGCAAGTAGATAAATAGGTACCACTTCAGTGGGAAGGTAACAGCGTTCCGTGCACCTTGGTGTTTAGTCATGCCAGCCACATGACCACGGAAATGTCTTCAGACAGCGCTGGCTCTTCGGCTTTGCTCTTTGAGCAAGGGAACCTTTACCTTTTACTATATAGGAATGGGGTTGGTTTGTTTTGTAAAAGGAAGTAACATTCTTATCACAGCAATGTACCTGTATAATTATATGAAAAACAAATTATTGCAAAAAACCTGTTCAAATAAATGGTATGAGCAGTGTAACATTAGAGAATTAAACTTGTGCAAGATCACAGCTTTTTTTAATATGCAAGTGGTACACATTCTGAATGCTCCATGTTTCACAGGGCTAGCAAATCTACTATCTGGAAAAGACGCCCTCCCTGCTCAAGTGAATTATGAATAACGTGACCCCTTGAGAGAAAGTGTGCCTAAAACAAAGTTACATGACTCATATAATAATAAATAATATCAAATACATAACCGAGTTGATACATACAATGGGTATGTAGACTCACTGGACAACTCCCCTAAATACTAATATCCAGATTTGGACTGTTTTGGAATGATACACAAATCTGTGCCTGTGTGCTCCCGTGCTGAATTGGAAACACACAGTCAGTTACATGAATATCTGTTTAATGCTTTGAAACAGGGAATACAGGGTTGAATACCATAGCACCTCAGTAATTCCAAAGCTGTATTCTGCCATAACCAGGAAGGACAGAAGGTCTTATACCCCAAATGACATCACATATAATTTACACATTAAAGAATCTCTAATTGGTACCAAGCAGTTAACATCATATAATTTGATTTTAAACCTGACTATTGGTCTCTCATGTATTGTCAGTGATTACATTCGCTAGCTGGGGGGG